GTTTGAACATTCTCACTATGTGAGTAAATTTCCACTTCTATTCAATGAGTTTGAGTTGGGCTTCTGTCCCACATCACAGGACACATTCTGACTGACAGAGACCACATAGTGTCATTTTCCATAGGAAGCAGGTCTCTTGGCAGAGAGGACCAAGTCATATCAGGCTTCACTTCTCTGGCTTTCACAAATGCAGCCTTCATTGTTCCTGATTCCCTCCTTCTTGAAAGCATCTCCTTCCTGGGGCCATTTTAATACTGAAACTTCACATATTTGGTCCTTTAAATTGTTTGGTTGTCTGTTAAATGAGGGTGTTAAAGATAACAGGAAAAAAAGAAAAGAAACAAAGCAAAACAAAAAAAACCTAAAGAATTTTTATGGAAAGACTTTCTGGAAGGTTGAGGATGTAGTGTAGCTCAGTGGCAGAGCACTTGCCTAGCATGGATGAGTCCCTGTGTTCCATTCCTAGTGCTGCAGAAAGGAGGGAAAGAAGGAAAGGAGAAGGAAGGAAGGAGAAATAAAGAAAAAAGAAAGAAAGGAAAAGGAAGGAAGGAAAGAAAAGAAAAGAAAAAAACTGGCTTGAGATTAAGCTGACTTTGGAGAAATGCAAGGTTGCTTAATTTCTTGGTTACAGGACCACCTCTTCACTGGGCCTATTTGGTTAAGGAGGCAGGGAGGCTGCAAAGAAACCCGGCCAGCCAAGAAGGACGGTGTCAGGGTCGAGGGCGGAGATGACTAACAAAGCAGCTGTGTGCTGGGCATGGAGACCAGGCAGGCTGGGCTAAGCGGCCAGGCCTGGATCTGGGCTCGGCTTCTCAGATATACATAACCTAGGTAGTACTTGCAGGGAAGCAGGACCAATACAGCATTTCCTGAAGTATTAGTTTTATTCAAAGATTTGAGGGAAATAGAATATTAGTAAATTCAAACAGATATTCTTCAAAACAAAAAGGAAAATCCATGTACATCTTTAAAAATTCAAAGAAAATTTATGTTCATAGCAGGCTCCTTTGGTAATGTATCTCAGGTTTTCTGGTGACATACGTACATACCATCATGTCATTTTTCCCACTCAAGGAAAGCCCTCCCCCACCAGCTGTATTTGTTTAATTGGCTTCTTTATAGCACAATTCATTCAAAAGATTGTGTTTAAATTCACTGCGTCCCCTTCTCCTTACCCAATTCTTTCTTCAACCCACTCCTATCAATCTTTTGCTCCTATTTTACTCTGTTCAGCCCTTGTCATATTCATGTTACTAAGTCCAATGACCAATTTTCTTCCTTCAGCTTATGTGACCTCTGCAGAATCTGACATAGTTCATCAACCTCTTCTGGAAACATTCTCCTCACTTGGCTCCCAGGACTAACATTCTGCCAGGGTCTCCTTTTCAGTCTTCTTGGCTGGCTCTTCTCATTTCCCAGACCACTTCCTTGATGTCTGTTCTAATCATGTTTTCCGGTCTATGATCTCAGCCAGTCTCACAGCTTTAAATACCATCTATATGCCGACGCTCTCCAAATTTATATCTCTGCCCTGGACCTTTGCCCTGAATTCCAACTGCATACTTGCCATCTCCACTTGGATGTCTAACACGCATCTTAGACTTACCATATTCAGGAAGGACGCGCTTCATCTTCCCTTGATCAAACAGCTCCTGTCCCACCTCAGTAAATGACAACTCTCTTATGTTTTTAGTCTTCAAGCATGGAGTCATTGTTGATTCCCCTTGTACTCTTAGAACTGATTTCCAATCATCAGAAAAATCCTCTGGCTTTATGTCCGAAATATATGCAGACCCAAATATATGCAGACATACATTCCACTAGCCTGGCCCAAACTGTCATCCTCTGTCATCTCTTGTCTTGGTCTCCTGGCTTCTGCTTTGTCTACCTAGGCCATCAACCACCCACAGCTAGAGTAGTCCCTTGAATACATATGTCAGACTGTGCCAGTCCTCTGCTGAGAATCCTCCAATGGCTTCACAACTCACTCAGGTTAAAAGGCAACCTTCATACAGCGGACCCAAGGCCTCCTTTGATCTGGACTCTTCTTACTCATTGGACACCAGCCACATGAGACAGTTTGCTGCCCCTCATACACAGCAGCCTATTCTTGTCCAGATTTCCTCTTCCCAGAATTCTCCTCCCAGTTCCACACATGCCATGTTCCTTCACCTCCTTAGGTCTTGGCTTAAATATCACTTTTCAGTGTGTCCTTTCCAGGTCATCTTGTTTAAAGTGATGTCTTCCTAACCCACTGCTGATATCTACTATTACCATTCCCTGTCTTATTTTTTCCTTAAATTTATCACTATTTAATACAACACTATTTAATTTTTAATTATTTATTGTCCCTTCCTTTTTCTTAATGTAAGCTCCAACTATGATTTTTTAAATCTTTGCTTCTTTAGATTACCACTGTATCTCTAGGTTTGTAGCAAGTGGTCAAAAATGTTTACATTAATTGAATTAAGGATTAAAGAATGAGTGGCACCAGTGTGTTCTCCCCCACCACTACAGGCTTCTCTCTGGGAAGCAGGCAAAAGCCACGCAGGGTTTGGAGCAGGGACAAAATCAGGGACAAGCAGGGGAGCTGGAGAGATTGGTGTGGGAAGAGTGTGCAGGGAGAGTTTGGAAGAGGGTAGGATAGGGATCCTGGCTCAGGTTGGTCATAGGAAGCCATTTTAGTAGTCAAGACAAGAGCTAAAGAGGACTTTGGAGTCTACACCTTGGTAACTGGGGCAGAAAGACAGAACTGCAAGGCATTCACCAGCACCGAGAGCAGACACACTGCAGAGAGAGGCTCAGTTACCAGCTTCATTCCTTCACTTTCCCCAATAAGTATTTTATATTTGAGAGGAAAAGTGGAAGCTATTTTTGTGTAAGTACCACATTTGGTTGGAAAAAATGCTTAAGATATATATCCAGAAATATATCTCTTTGAGGAAAATGGTAGACTTGTGTTTTTCTTCAAGGAACACAGGAATGCACTAATGAGAGACTCAACGTGTCTTTCTCTAATGCCATCTTTTACTCCCCAAAAGCAGACCTTTTTTTTTGCAGTACTGGGGATCTAACTCAGGACCTTGCACTTGTGAGGCAGATGCGGTGCCACTGAGCTAAATCCCCGGCCCTAAAAACCATTTTTAATATTAACTTGGTGATCTAAGAAACAAGACTGTGGTCAACTGCCTTTGCAACTCCTAAAAATAATTCTCTTTCAATATTTATCTATCATGATGGTAGCAACTATGTATTTAGCTCATTTGTATACATATCCCAGACAGTGTTCTAGGTGTTTCATATGTTAATTCATTTAATTCTTACAACAACCTCACAAGGCAAACAAACTGCTGCAAAACTTCACCCCAAATTTTCAGTACCTAACCCTAATAAAAGTTTACTTTTACTCAGTGGTTTTGTGGAGGTGTTAACAGACAGCCTTCCTCATGGTGACTAAGGGCCCAGGCTCCTTCCATGTAGTGGCTCTGTCATCCTGCAAGACCCCACCCCACCCCTACCCTAAGTCCTCTGAGGGCCCCTCAGCCAGCACTTGGGATAAGGGGAACATGGAGGATCAGCCTGGAAGTTTTTATGGCCTATATCTGAAAGTGACACATCACATTTCCTCACATGTCATTGGCTAGAGAATTTCATCACACAGCAAACCTCACTGCAAGGAAGGCTGGGCTGGGAAGAACAGCTGGCTGCATGGCCAGGGACCAGTCGTAACTGGCACATATCAATCTCTGCCAAAGGCAGGGTACTAGCATCCCGTTTTACACTGGGTAAAACCAAGTGCAGGAGATTAGTTAGCTTGTGTAGGTGATAGAGTAAAGTTGTCCATCGCCATGGTACAGGCGCTTTATCATTGCAACTATGGTGAAGGTCCATCGAGTCAGTCTGAGATGACAGCTGGTGGTCCAAATAAAGGAAAGGGGGAAAAGAGCAAAAGTGGCCCTCAGACCTTGCAAGATGCTCTCTCATTCCTGCTCCCCCCGATCTCCGCTTGCCCCTGCAGGTGCGGCCAAGAGGCCAGGAGCTCAGGAGTCCCTCCCAAGTGCTGGGTAATTAGGAAGCAGCCTCAGCAATCCCCAGTCACCAATGCCTGTCACCAAGAGCATGTTGTCCTCTGAACAGGAAGCCAGTGTGACAGGTAGAGGGGCTACGCAGGGAGAGGTTAGCTGAAGGAGGGGAGGGCCTGGTGGCATGAGGGCTTTCAAAGTAGTCCTTCATGACACATTTTGATTTCTGCGTGGGGGCCATATTCAGAATGTCACAGAAGGTCACTTGTTTGGGGCTAATGGGGCTAGGGCAGCAGAAAGGGCCCTGAAGACTTTTCTCTGCTTCTCGCTGGTGGTGTGACTTTGAACTAATCACTGAGTTGAGACCATGACAAAGATTCAAAGGGAAGGGGCTGCAGATTTAGCTCAGTAGTGCCACTGCCTGCTTCGTAAGCACAAGATCCCTAGTTTGATCCCAGGTACCAAAAAAAAAAAAGATTCAAAGGGAGATGGACAAATAAGAGTTAGAGTTTTTTTAAATTATCACAGTAAAAGACACATTGCCATTAAGACCCCTCAAAAATACTCCTCCTCTCTTCAAGCACACTGACTTCTGGCTCTTCCCCAAAGTCAGACCATGGAAAGTAAACGTTTTCAGTTGGTTCAGGACGTGAAGCAGCCACGACACTCAGGAGAGAGGACTTCCAGAACTGCTTCAGAAAGTGGCAACAATGAAGGAATATGGTTTTTGGAAAGGGGGGTAGTATTCTGAAGAGGAATACTGGCAATGTATCTTTTACTGAAATCAATTTTTCAATTTATACACACAGCATATTTTTTGACCACATCCTGGGGACTTAAAACCAAATGTGTCTGATTAAAACTGTGGGTCCTCTCCCCACAAAAGGCACATACTCACCTAAGTTTGCCCCTTACCAACTTCCCGATGAGTATCCACTAAGATTGGTTGGTGGTCTCCAGTCGCTCTTAGTCATAGTGCTCTTTCCTTCCAAAGGCTCCCCTGCACTCTGCTGGGTCCCGCAGAAGGCAGCCCGGCAGGCACCTCAGCTTCCTGTGTCACGCTGCCTGCAGTTGCAAGGTCAGAAACCACAGCCCCTCCCCCAGGACCCACGCAAGGCCTAGGGCCCTGGAGTGGGCTCAGATCAGTGGGCGGGCCGCTGGCCCTCACTGGAGTCCTGTGAGAGGGTGAGTCACAGGTAGCCTTTACTCGACAAAGCTTAAGGCCCTTGTTTCCCTCTGTACCACCTAATCTTTCAAAATCACTTGCTTCTTAACAGCCCTCTGAGTTTCTGCCTGCAGCAGCTCTTCAGCTGCTCCCCGGGGGCGGGGGCGGGAAAGCTGGCTTCGAGAGGCCCGCAGCTGTCCTGAACACAGGAAGTCCTCGGCTGCATGGAAAAGGTAAGAAGAGCTAAAAATACTATTCAAAAATGGGAGCTTCCGAGTTCAGAGGAAGTCCGGATGTTGTCAAGGTCAGGCTTCGGAGGAAAGGGGCCCCAGAGGGAGACTTCCTACGTCCTTCTGAACTTTTAGCAAACCCTGCTGACCTCCAGGGAAAAACAAACCTCCTTAGCATGCCAGGCCTCTAAACTGAGGCCTGAAATTGCCTTTCCATTCCCTCGGGGAGCCTTGTAGTGACCAGGCACATCTTACCATGCTTCTCCTTCCTTCCAGCTCCGTCCCTCCTTTCTTTGGGCCTGGCTCTCACCCCATATCTACCTGCAAACTTTTCTATTTCATCACTAATATTAATAAGCATCACCCTTCTTTTTTTTTGAGAGCCTACTATATCTCAGTTGCTTCCCAAACTTTATCATATTTGATTCCTTCAACAAACTTGAAGACAAGTATTATTGACCCTGCTTCATGGGTGAAGAAATTGGCTTTAAAGGGATAATTACACCTCCTAAAGTCATGTAGTTACCAAATGACAGTACCGCAACTCTTGTCTAATTGACCTCAAAGCCTCCGTGTTGTGCTGCTACACTCATGCACTCCCCAGTCCACACATCCACCTTACCAGGCATCCAACTGATCATCCACCCATCTGAGGTATTTGTATCTCCCCCAGTACCTGCATGTAGCAAGACAGCTCTCTCTTTCCTCCCTAGTCCTTTGTCTCTCAGCATTTGTAGCCCTCCATGTTGGCCCAGCACGGTACCTACTTCTTTCCTAGTGAGGCGTTACTTCTTTAACCAGACTGGGAGCTCAAAGAATAGATGTCTCTTGAAAAGCTAGTTCCCTGCCTTCCTGAGATTAGATGTCCACTGAAAACTGGACAGTGACTGAGCTCTCCCTCTTGCTGTTTGGGCAGCCATGTATGTCCCCAGATCAGGACGCAATGTCATCAGCCAGTCAGGCCTACAGAAAGCCATTTAAGAAAGGTCAAGAGATTCTGAGTCTCTTACCAGTCCTGAGCCAGTATATCCCTGAACGCAAAAGAAACCCTAGTTTAAAACTTTTTCCAAAACCTTTTAACTGGGAAACACTGCTGTCAAAATATCTTGCCATGAGCACGGAACTTTAGCCTTCAGATTGTAATCACAGGAAATGTAGTGTTCAGTTTCCTAAGCAACTGTAATTCTTTCTTCTTTTTCCCCTTCCATCCTGCCTGCCTACCCTTTTATATTACAGTGGGATCTCTGATGCCTGCAATATGAATACAAAATACACTTCAACAGCATCCTAAGTGTTATTTTAACAAAGCACGTGGAAGCTGAGTGTGGTGGCTCACACCTGTGATCCCAGCATTCAGGTGGCTGAGGGCTGGAGAGTCGCTGTGTAGTGAGTTCATGTCCAGCTTGGACTACATTGCAAGACCCCATCTCAACAAACAAAACAAAACAAACAAACAAAAAACTCTTAGGCCCCTGATGCTATCTATGTTGCATAGAAAGAAGAAGTGAAAGCAGCTGTTGTCTAAACTCAAATTTGTTCATGTCCGCACAGAAGGGCCACGGTATTTAGTTATCTGTGCACACAGGCAGACACGCTGCGTACCTCTGGGCTGGAAGGCTTGGTGCCCACCACATCCATGCCCCATCTAGGCTGTTTTCTCACCCTAGTCTTGGTCACATCTTGTGCATCAGCCTTACTGAATCGTACCACGATCATCTGTTTACTTGGACACTTTCTCCATCAGAATGAGAACTGGAGAGCAATGACTATTTTGCTGTTATTGTGGTGTTGGTTAACATTTCACAGTGCTCACTCTAACAGTCACTGTGTTGTCTGTACTATGGGCATTACTGGACTTGATCCAGCAGCAGCAATCCTGTCAGACTGGTATTTCACACTTTTCAGGTGCTGTCTTAGACTCTGGAGGCTCTGGCATGGTTCAGCAAGGTCTATCATATCGTGAAGGCTTTCTTTCCCCAAAAAACTCTTTGGCAGAGATATTAGGCAACCTTATTTTCCCCCTTTAGTACAAAAGAACTTGTCATCCCCGAGAAGAAAACTTTTTGAACTGAATTGAGAAGATTGCCAATTTCGTGTCAAATTAAAGCTGGGGGGAGTATGGAGATGAAAGGCAGACAGTCCTGGATTTGAAATGACCTTTAACAGATTGTGTGACCTTGAGTACGACCCCTTGGCACTCTGAGCCTCAGTTTTCACACATGTGAAGTAAGGATAATGAGCCCTTGCTCTTGGCGTGTTGGGAGAACTAGGAAAGGTAAAGGCGCAGTGTCTGGTGTGGTGTGTGCTATGAGGTAGTCTTAAATCATGGCTATTGTTACTGTTTCCTTCATGTTCAACACTCACCTTTACTAACAGGAAGCGATTCGGCCTCGAGTTTAGCTTGAAATTATGTTAATGATGTTTTTAATTCTCTGAAAATAATTCACCAATGTTCCCCAATGCAGAGGACTATTTCTCCTCTCATAAATTTGGAAAGTGGCTGGTACTTTGAGAAGATTCATGAGACCCACTTTGGTGACCACCAAGACTCCTGCTCAGGGGCTGGAGCGAGCATGTCACCCAGAGCCCTGGCTCCAAGCATCCGCACTTGCTGAGGAGTTCTGCAGGTAGAGGACGGCCCTCGGGGAGGTCTCCGGTACGCCTCCAGGACAAACCCCAGAGTGACTTGAGGAGGCCCCATGAAGCCTTCTGTTGTGCTTTAGGTTGCAATTAAGTGGTTTGCTCAGTTGTTCACTAACCTAGTACCTGCCAGTAGCCTTGAGAGGTAAGAGGAGGCTGAGGCCAGAAACAGCTTAAGGTCTGAGGCTGGGTTCCTGGACCCCTGCCAAGGACCTTGGGCAGTCACAAGGTGGCAGTGGGGCTGGGAGATAAGAGGCTGAGGTAACAGTCCTCAATCTCTCATTGCCTTCTGGATATTGGATTACGAGCACAGAGATGGTGGCAAAGACCCAGTCTCCACGATTCTTCCCCTGACAGCCCACCTGGGGAAACCCAGGGGACTCTTCGGGGATTCTTGGTGACCCTTGCTCACACACTGTCAGTCAGCACAGCCTTTGTCAGAGCCTGGATGGAAGAGAAGGGACAGAATCTGTCTTCCCATCCGCACTCAAGTGGCTTTCTGTACCAGATAAGGATGGAGGAGTTCTTATTAAGAATAAAAAACTGGAGAGGCAATTTGAAGCCAAAGTCATTATGTGCTTGAAAATCTCAGCGGGGTTAGTTTGCAGGGCTCCCTGGAGGAACAAGGGTGAGCTCAGCTCTGACCAGTTCCCAGGTGACTGGAACAGAAGCTTTTGAGGGAAGCCTTTTAGAGCTGGCAAGCCCCAGACGTGTGCTGCAGCATTTCTTCCATGGCTGCTCTGGCTGCTCCTCTCAGGGGAAATATGAGCGGCCCCCACTTCTCTAAATGAAGAGCTCTGAGGAGCATGCCTTCTCTATTTATTCACCCTCCTCTTGAACCCCACCCCATTCGTCTAGCTCTTATTTTGACAATCTTTACACTTCAGTTCAAACAGCATACCCATTTTATTTCTCAGAGGAGACAAGTTTTGTTTTGTTTTGTTTTGTTTTTAATAAAAGAGGAAAAATAGGATTGGCCAATATATCTGCTGTATAGCTGTTCTTTAAACGTGCTGTTTTATCTTGAAATAAGACATTCCAAATTGTTCCAATCTTTCTAATCTTTTACAGTATCTTTCAGGAGACCTTCAAAGTGAAACTGAGCATTTTTCCTCACGTTTCCTTAGAAGGTGTCCTCTAAGGTACAGTCATTGTCATGAACAGCAGCTAAAATCAATCACTCGTCATGTCTTTAATTAAATCTTCAATTTGGAAACTACATGGTGAGATTCTTTATTCAAAATAACAAGAGAAAACACAAGCAGGCTTCATTTCTTGTTGTAGCAATGCCAGTTTTCCATAATCTGACCTTCAGTTGACATCAGTGGACCAGAACCTTTCTTCAAAGGACTGTATATATTTTTATAACCTAGATGCACAAGATGAAGACAGAGGATTATCTTCGGTCATTAAAGATCTTGGAACATTCTTTATTACAGATGGGAAAAACAGCCCTGTGGTTAGTCAGGATGCGTGTTTGAAGTTAACTCGAGCTGTCTTTTGTTGTCGCAAGGTATGGAATCCAACTCCAGGATCAGAAATACCTACTTTCTTGATGACCAGTATTTAAAAGATTAGATGCGTGACTCACACGTTCTGTAGTCATAATTTACAGTATAGTTGAGAGTCATGTGTGAGCTTTAAAAAGTTCAAATACATTCACAAAAGGGAAGACTCACCATACTGTCTTTCCTGAGAAAGTTGTGGGAGTTTTTTTGGGGGGAGGGAGGTTGCTGAGGCATTGCCTTCAGGACATGTTGTATTTTATTCTTCTATGACCTTTAGTTTGTTTTATAAGAAAAAAAAACTCAATGATTTTAATCCACATATCCTTTTCCTCTAGAATATGAAGAAATAATCAGTTACAATAGCCACAAGATGCCATTGTCGAAAGAAATTTAGTTTGATATTAAAGCTTTCGGTTTAAGCTTTTTCCCTTGAGCATAGAATATACAAAGAAAAATTTAAGAGAGAGGCACAAAACTGGGCGTGTAATGAAGAGCAGACCCTCAGTTTTGATGTTTGGCTGCTGAAAATTCTCAAGTCTACCCCTACCCTTTCCCTCTGGCCCCACCTCTGAACAAGCTAAGAAAGTCCAGATGTACTGCCGTTGGCATTAGTGGGGACTTCAGGCCACTCCACATATCTGTACACTGGGACTCACCCTAGCACCGCCTCCTAACCTAATGAAAACCACAAACCAGTCTCCTTTCTCCACTGTCTTAAGCCATGTTTGGGCTGTCTTTGGGTCCTGCCCCTCTCTGCCCAGAAAACCTCATTAATGAGTAATTCTATGCCCTAGTTTTGATATATGAACTGAATTTTTGGTGGGAAGTAGTCATCATGCTCATGCAAGGTAATCATAGTATGATCCCATTAAATCGTTAAAAATGAATATGTGAACGGGAAAAAAAAGTCACAAAAAGTTTATTAAAATGTTAGTAGTGATTTTCTTTGAATAGTAGGATATGAATGTTTTTTCTTTATTTTCTCAAATGACTGCTAAAGATACATATTTTTAATAAGCAAAAAGCAATGTAATATGCATTAGAGTAAAAACTGCTCTACATTAAGTAAGCAGAAAGGAAAATGCTCAAACCATTTTGATTAGTTTTGTTAAATTTATCTAATTCTGAATTACAAATACAAAAGAAAAACCCACAAAAATAAAGCCTTACATAATCTTTTTCACTTTAAGAAAGAAAATAAATAAAATGAACCGTAAGCACATGAAGTTAAGTTTTACTTTTTGAGAAAGTTTTAATCTAATCTTTGAAACTATTTGGATAAAAGTCAGTGTTGGAAAACATACTTCTGCTAAAAAAACAAAAAAAGAGAGAAAAGAAAAGCCTTATTCCTCAGGTTTCAAAGGCTGAACTGAACACATTCAGAACTAGAACCACTTAAAAATGTTCATTAAAAACGTATTAGCAGGCCGGGGATTTAGCTCAGTGGTTCTGGCTTCTGCCTCCTAAGCACAAGGACCCAAGTTCAATCCCCGGTACCAAAGAAAAAAAAGTATTAGCAGCAGCATTGTGCATGTGGGCATCCCTTATTTTGCAGTTTTTTACCCTAGGACAGCAGGCCCTGTTCTGCAAACTTTCTTTCAGGTAGACTGGGGTGGGGGAAAGACTGCGAATGCCCTTTTCCATGTGGAAAGGCTTTCTTTCCTCCAGTTTAGAACTGAAGGAACTGATGTAGCAGGTTGCAGAACTAGAAAGTTGCAAAGCTGGTAGTTACTAACTGGCCATCTGTCCTGACAGCCTACTCTGTGACCCGACCCTCCTTCCCTCTGGAGCACCCTGATTCAGCCTGATTTTAAAGGTCTGGACAAAAGCATGGTGACTTCACTAACGCAGCGGTCCTCAAACTTGAGCCTGCTCCAGAATCACACGGAGAACTTATTAAGACAGATTGCTGTATATGTTACCCAAGATTCTGACTCAGTAGTCTGAGACAGTATCTGATCATAGTTCTAACAGGTTCCCAGGTGATGCTGATCTGCCTCCCAGGGAACACCTAGAACCAGTTGGTAAAAGCAAAGACCTTACCTCTGAGATTTTTCAAGGCCTGGATGCTAGAGGCATTAAGCGTTCATCTAATTTATTGGATGCTGAAGGCTGCCAGAGGGCTTGCAAGGACTCTGACCCTTCCTCTTGCGTAGACGGCAGTCTGCACACTCTGGGCTGTTTCTGCACTTGCAGTCCCTTGTCAGGGACTTCCCTCTAGAGCTGCTTGGCTTCCTCCTGGGTCTCCTATTGGCTAATTACTACCCCTTAAATGAGATTTCACTAGGCCAATTACTCACTTAGGGGCCAGGAAATGTCTTCTTATTTCAGTCCTGGAAAGCTTCCATTTAAATAATACCCCCAAGGGAGGTGTTATGAGGCTGAGGGAAGTGAGGGGAGAAACTCAGCCTACTTAGACTGGTCACAGGAGACCAACGCCCTCTCCCTGGAGGCTGAACAGGCTGCACTATGGGTACTTGGCCATTTGCTGGCTGGGACAGTGATCTTGAGTAGGTTGTTGAACCACCTCAGCTGGGAAATAAAAACTTTTCCTCAGCTGTCCTTTGGGGAACAAAAAGAGGATTAATTATTTGATACTCTTAGTAGAGAGAAGACACCTGCTCAGTCTCTGAGCTATATTAACTCTTTTAGGCCGCCAAGTGGCTTTCCCTAAACTGTTGAAACTCGGGAAATTAAAGAGAGTCTCAAGAATCTGAGGGAAGGGGGGTTACTTTGCAGGGAAAACTGCTTATGTTTGGATGAACAGTTTAGCGAAGCATTTTACCACATGCTAGATAAATAGGGCTTAGGAAATATCAGAGAACAAATAGAGCTGAGTGAAAAATGTGGGATGACCCCAGTGGAGAAACGCAGATGTAAAGGATTCCCTACTTGGTCGATTTCATATTGAACACCTAAAGTCTCAGTTTTCTCCTCCCCTTCCTCTCGTCTTGTTTCTCGAAAACATAGAGAAAGTGAATTTGTTTGCCCTGCTGTAGAGATGAACTCTTGGTCCTGTAGAATTAATTCTAAGTGTTCCGCCATCTCAGCAATGGCCCGATTCCTCAGCAATAGCAAGCCCCAAGGACAGGACTCACCCAGATGTTGCTTCGCCACCAAGTATTCCCACACTGCAGGCAAGGGGATTTGAACAGAACTCTGGGCAACAGCTGAGCTTAACAGGGACCTGCCTCACATTGGGCAAGTCCCTCACAACCTGCTGATGACAGTTGCTTGGGTCTTGCCAGAGGGGAAGACATATAAATGGTAAGCTGGAGTGAGAACAGTGCATGTTAAGTCCTGCCACATTACAGTTGTCAGACTACATCTTCCACACTATGAGTGGAGATAGTGAAAAATAAATCAAGTTCTGACATGCTGTGTCTCTTAGGCACTCATCTCCATGGTCCTTCTTGTGCTCCCGGCTTAAATTCCTTAATGTTGCGGCCAAGACTTTGCAGTTTTGACTTAGTCCAGAGGATGAAAGCAAGTGCTGCAAGTGTTGCTGGGAGGCCTGGATACAGGAAAGCAGGGAAAGGTAAGAGGATCCACCTGGGAAAGAAAAGGTAGATGGATGGTGAAGGTGAAGACAGTGAGAACTAAGTACACTATATGCTTGCAAGAACTCTTGCCCTGGAGCTATGTGCACCAGCCCAATTCTGCCTGTCGCACTTGGCTCTGGGAACCAGAGACCCAACCAGATTGACGGTCTACCTAGCCCGGCAACTGGTAAGAAGTATTGTGTAAACACTCTGGGAGGCTGAGGCTGGAAGATTGAAAGTTCAAGTGCAGACAGCTTAGCAATTTAGTGAGACCTTCTAAAAAAGTCTTTCAAAGAAAAGGGTTAGGGATATAGCTGTGTGAAGGCCTAGGTTCATTCCCCAGTACCACACACACACACACACACACACACACACACACCCACACCCGTGTTACTAAACAGAGCTTGGTCAGGCCCATATCTGGGGCCTGGCTGTCTGGGTTATTATGTTCATTTAACCATGTACAAAAAAAGCCCATGAAAATGGAAAGATGAGTTTATTTATAATTTGGCCAAATTGGGGAGGGCAGCCAGTCCACCTCGTTTTGAATGCACAGAAGCACTCCAAGATATAGAAGGGTTAGAATGAGAGCCGGGTAATATCCACATGCATATTTAACTGGGCCTTGTCTCATAAGGCTGATAGTATTGAATCCTCCTTGTTCTCAGGCCTGGGGTTAGCAGTTTACATACTCAGCAGAATGGAGCTTGGAGATAGTTTATCTTTTAAAAAAATTCTAATTTGTAAGGTCCATTTTAACTGCTCAGTTATACCAGGAGGGCATACAAAAGCTTGCAGAATCCTCTCCCTTTCTCCTAGAACTATTCTGTCTCACTTGTAGTTGTCAAGCCAGGACAAGGCTTGCCTTGATTCTGTACTACTTGTTCTTATTGACATTGTAAAAGGAAGCCCAGGTAGTTTCATTCTACTCCAGAAAGTTCTTGAACCAGCAGCATCTGCTGTCTGGGAACTTGTTAGCAACTTGGAATCTCAGCCCCACCAGATGTCTACTGAATCAGTGCCTACAATTTGTAAGCTCTCTGTGATTTCTAGGAAGAGGAAAGATGAAGAACACGGCCTTGAACACTGATTCTCCAACCTGGCTGTACTTTGGAATCACTTGGGAAGTTGTGAAAATGTTGTATGTAACCGGTCATGGAGGCTAAGGCAGGAGGAGCACCACAAGTTCAAGGCCAACCTGTGCTGAGTTCAAGGGAACTCAACAACAACAACAACAACAAATGCTATATATTAATGCCTGGGGGCCCATCTCCAGAAATTGATTCAATTTGTAGGGGTTGTAGCTTGGGAGCCTACAGGAATTTATACAATGTATACAATTCCAAGGGATTTTAGTATACTGTAAAGTTTAAGAACCATTATCTAATGTAACTTCAAATTTTCCCTTAGAGCCTAGACCAATTCTTCTCAAATTTTAATGTGCATAGAAATTGCCCAGGGATCCTGTAAGAATTCAGACCCTCTTTCAATAGGCCAGGAGCAACTAAGACTTCAAATTTCAAAGTATGCCAAGTGAAGCCAATGCTGCTGTCCCAGGACCAGATTTTGAGAAGCAGGACTTTAAGGCACATGAGAGTGATTATCTGAAGGAAAGACAATAAACAGGAAAAGTCCAACAGTGTTGTACCTGCACCCAGGTGTTAGGGGGTGGGATAAAGACCTCAGATTCAGAGTTGAGAAGGTCTGTTTTCTGGTTCTCTGCTTATCAGCTGTGGAACCGTGAACAAATTATATAATTTTTTATTATCAGTTTTTACAATTAAAATTTGGATCGAAAACCTATTATAGCTATGTAGAGATGTAAAGTGACCAACTGTCTCAGTATTTCCTGTCAAAGAAAACCAAAATAATGAAATAGAACGAATTCTAGAAACTATAACTTAAGAAAACTCTCCTGAAATTTGAAAAAAAAGGATTTGAAATTATATATTGAATGAACACACCATGGACTTTGGAATATGAACACAAAACAACACTAAGGTATGTTCTTGATTATAACTCAGTTTAAAGACAAAGAAAAAATTCCTTAGGAAGTCTAGGCAAAGCATCAAGTGACTTCTAAGGGATAGAAAACAAGATTGTCTAGTTCTAAGCCAGAAGAAAACAGAGTAATGAGTCTAAGATACTCCAGGAAAAAAATGTGAGCTGAGGATTTTTGTGTGTGTGTGTGGAACCAGGGATCGAACTCAGGACCTTGTGCTTGTCACGCAGGTGCAGTGCCACTGAGCTGAATCCTTGGGTGTACTAAGGATTTTATTTCCAGCTATCACCTGATGAGGCCCAGAGAAGTTCCTGCAAAGAGGCAATGGAGATGTTAACTCACCCTCACCCATAGAGTAGGATCTTGACTCATCATGGAAAAGAATTGCAGGACTTGTCGATGACAGGCATAAACAGATTTATTAGGCAGAGGTAAGAAGTACACAGAGAAAATAGAGTGTGGTCATTCAAGAGAGGGAAGTGTTATGGTCTGACTGGGGTGTATTTATGTGTTTTTTCGGGGGTGTCCTCAAGGTGGATGATCTAGGATGTGTATTCCTAGTGTCTGTGGGGTTAGTGGGCTAGGTTAGAGTGCAAACTATTTGCATGTTTTGAAATTTAGAGACTCAATTAGTAGTGCTATTTCCTGGAGATTAGACTCTAGAACTTGTGAGTCTATAATATGGAAGGAAATTGAGCACAGTTTTGCAATTTTCAAGTGAAAGGTTAGGCTCAATTTACATGTTTATTGTATCTTTTAAGACTTAGGAATTTTGCAGAAAGTTTCCTGGAAGGCAAAAAGAAAGAAAAGAAAAGAAGAGAAGAGAAGAAAAGATCTTGTGCAACTTAATATTCTGTGTCCTGAAGCTACAGTTTTCTTAAAAGTACAATTTTTTTTAAATTTTATTTTATTGGTACATTTTAGGTATATAATACAATAACATTCATCATTGGAAATTTGCACCTTTACATAATCTCTCTTGGTTCTTGTTTTTCCCCCTTCCCCTACCCACCCTTCAAACCCTCCATCCCTCCCTATTTACAAAGATTTTGTTCCCATTTTCACACATTAATTCCATTCCTTTCTTTCCTTTCCCCTACCCCTCCCACTTCCCCTTCCTCTTTGCCCCTTTTCTTCCTATTTCACATTATCTATTATACCTTTTAGTCCTTATTTACACTTTCAGTTTCTCACACTAGAGAAGCTATTCGGTATTTATACATGTGTGTCCTATTTATTTCACTTAAGAGTATCGCCTCAATGTGCATTTAGCTACACATGTCTCTAATTTCTCATTTTTATGGGTGAGTAGTACTCCATTTTATTAAAAAAACCACATTTTCTTTCTCCTGTCTCCAGTTGATGGGCAATTGGGCTGTTTCCAAGTTTTAGCTATTACAAATTGTGCTGCTATGAACATGGGTGCACATATATCACTGTGGTATGATTCTTTTAATTCTTTGGGGAAGATGCCCAGCAGGGGAATAGCTGGGTCAAATGGGACTTCCAGTCCTAGTTCTTTGAGGTATCTCCATACTGATTTCCACAGTGGTTGCATCAGTCTACACTCCCACCAGCAGTGGAGCAGGGTTCCTCTTTCCCCACAGCCTTGCCAGCATATCTTATTGGTTGATTTCATGATAGCAGCCATTCTTTCTGGAGTGAGGTGGAATCTCAGCATTTTCATTTGCATCTCTCGAATGACCAGTGATGTTGAACATTTTTTCATGTATTTATTTGCTATTTCTACTTCTTTGTCTGAGAAATGTCTGTTCATTTCAGATGCCCATTTTTGGATTGCATCTTTAAATTTGGGAGGTCTGCTTTGTTTTAGTTCTTTATAGATCTGAGATGGTAGACCTTTGTCTGAGGAACAGCAGGTGACGTTTATTTTCCCACATTGTGGGTTGTCTCTTCACACTGCTGGTGGTTTCTCTTGCTGTGCAGAAGCTTTTTAATAAGAAGAGATCCCACTTGTTGATTTATGATTTCCCTTGCCTCCTTTCCACCTAACTTCACTTCCTCTATCCTACTCCATGAGTAAATTTTCAAATGAAACAAAAAGGATCATTGTTTTTATTTTGAACCATTTGGAAGAATCTATGAGGACAACAACTTCAGACAACCAAAATGACTAACAATGAGGTGGGAGATTAGGGCATGGCCAGCTGGCTGGGCAAGTGGGTATGACCTGTCAATCACAAAGATACAGCACACATGTGCAGAAAAACAGTTTTAAAACCCTGCACTTGGTACTGATCAGAAAGTGCTATCATCAATTCTTCTGGCACAAAATCAAGCAGGTTTTTGATAGGACAGCCTATATCTGATGTCAGAAAGGGAGAAAGATAGCAGCATTAACCTTGTGGTCACTATACTTTTTTCTGTGGCCCATTCTCACTCTGCAGAGGACTTCTTTTCTTCCCTTTAATAAATGTAAAACCTTACTACCCTTTGCACGTGTCTTGACCAATTCTTTGTTCAGGACAGTAAGAACCTAGAAAGAATCTCGAAAAGGAGCCCATAGCACCTCAGAACCCCTGGTAACAGCAAGACACTGACATAAGTACTGATGATGAGTACTTATTACAGTTACTTGCAGAACTAAGACTAAATCAGAGTTATATGTGAGAGGGAGTACTAATAATATGCTCTGACAATGTAGACATTGTGCAACTACAAACAATGGTGCTAGAATGGGTGGAAATATGACAATGACATTTAAGCACTTCTGTGTAGAGGTGATAGTCTTACAGTCTTGAGACTGTTGTATATGAATTGTTGGATAAAGCAAATGAAAGATTATAGATACTTTATTCCATTACCTCTTATATCCTTGAGGATCATGATCATTAGTGTGGAAAAAGAGAAAAAAATGAACTTAAATAAAAATACTAAGTCTGTATTTAAATCAGAAGTTACCTTTGAAGACCCGAGAAGATCTTGTATGAGTCAGTTTTCTGTCACTGGGACAAAATACTTGACACACACAACATAAACAAGGATAAATTTACTTTGGCTCACAATTTCAGAAGGATCAGCCCATAGTTAGCTGGCTCCAAGGCAGAAACAACATTGCAGAAGGGGCTCGTGGAGGAAAACTGCTTAACCCATGTCATCCTGGAAGCAGAAAGAACCAAAGTAAGAGGTAGGGGTGGGAGATAAGAATATAGTTGTTATGGTTTAGACCTAAAATGTCCTCTTAAATTCCCATGTGTCTGGTAGGTGATTGGATCATGGGATCACTGTACTCCTCAGTTGATGAATTTAGGAGCTGAATGTGCTGTTAGGAGGTGAGGCCTGTTTGGAGGTGGGTCACTGAGGGTGCAACTTAGAAGGATGTATTCTTGTCCTTGGCTCCTCCTTTTATTCCTAGCTGCCATAGTCAGAGCTCCTTTTCCTCTGCAATGACCCTCTGCTATCCTGTTTCTGCCTTGGACCCAGCTGACCATGCACTGAATCAATGAGCCAAAATGAACCTCTCCTCCTTTAAATTGTGGATGTCCGGTATTTTGACAGTGAAAGTGACTAAGGCAGATTTTCATCCCTGAGAAGTAAGACTATTGCTGTGATGATACCTGATCATGTGGCTCAGAAGCCTTTGGAAATGGTTTGCAGGAGTTTGGGAAATTTTGGAGATGCTAGGTACAGAAGCCCTAGAATGCTGTAAGTTGAGCTTAATTGGAGTTTCCGGTCAGAGCTAAGAAGACTAGAATGCTAATAGAAATGCAGACAGTAAAGGCCAGGTTCAGAAGGTTTCAGTTGGGAACAAGAACTCCATTGAAAGTTGGACTAGAGGCCATGTGTTTTAAACCCTGGAAGAAAATTTTTCATTTTGGCCATGTCCTGATGCTTTAAGGGAGACCAAGATTAAGTGTGGTGGACTAATTCATCTGGTGGAGGAAATGTCAAAGCAGCTCAGTGTTCATACTGTAGCATGAGTATTGCTGGCTGCTTTCAGACAGATCTACAGTCAAAATCAGGAGGAAAAAACAGATGTGAAAAGCTTGCAGTTTCATCAGAAAGGAAGTTCCTGCAAAATTGGGACCATGGAGAGCATAATAAGGAGCTAAGTAGTTTGGATCAGAATAACAGCAAAGATGGCTTAAAGTCATCTCAGAAGTTAATAAGATCCCACCCTTTACAGGATCAAGGGTGCAAAACTATAAAGCTTTCATTTGTAAAGAGAGTCCTCCACCCCCACCCCAGGATGCCCAGTGATTCAGTTTCCTGGGATTTGTTTTATAGTGGTCAGCCATCCAGGTACTCAGAAGCTGCTACAGCCATAATTGAAGATGGTATGGATCCTTCTTCAGCTGGTAGCAGACCTTGGTGTCTTTGATGTGGTGATTTTTTTTTAGGGATGCAGAATGCAAGGGTTGTATAATCAGGGAGCCTTCCACTAGATTTCAAAGGAAGGGCTGGGAAGCCAGACAATATGCCCCTGAGAATGCTTGAAGCTGTGAGAGTGAAGCCAAAAATGCATTGTAGACCCATCTCCTATTGGAGATGCCAGGAATGTGAAATGTCTGCTGAGGAAAGCTTCAGGGAGTAAACAGAGCCAGCCCAAGAAGCATGGCATGTGAGCTGCAACTGGCAATGTCATAGGGGTGGGCCTACTCAAGCCCTTTGGTGTTCACATCTCACTACAACCTTCCCCAAGAGGTAAAGGATTTATGTTTGGTCTTGGTTTGATTTAGTTCCTTTCTATTCTCCTATTCCTTTTGGAATGGGAATGTTTACTCTGTGCCTTGTATGTTAATGTATTTAACTTTCTTTATGATTTTTATAGGGCTTGCCATGAAGAGTTTGCCTTGAGTCTCAGAGGAGACTTGGAACTTGAACTTTTTAGCAATGCTGGAACTGTTAAGACTTTGACAACTCTTAGAGTTGAACTACATGCATTCTGCATGAGCTAAACAGGAGCCTTTTGGGAGACAGGAGCAGAATGTGTTAAGCTTTACATCTAAAATGTCTCTTAAAGACTTCAAGATAATCAAATCATACGGGTGCTATACTCATCAGTGAGTTCAAGAGCTGAATGTGCTATTAGGAGATGAGGTCTGGTTGGAAGTGAGTCATTGGAGGAATGACCTGGATACTCATTTCTCTTTCTGCTTTCTGGCTCATGAGATGAGCAGCTTTCCTCTGCCATCCCCTTCCACCATGCATTTATGCCTTATAGCCAACCAACATTGGATTGAACCCACTGGAAATTGTGAGCCTAATAAAATCTCCTTTAAATTGTGGGTTTCAGCCCCAGTGACAGGAAAATGACTAATTTTAACACTCACCAAAGTCATGGCCTCAGTGACCAAACTCCTCCAATGAGGCCGTATCTTCTTCTTTTTTTTTTTTAAATTCTTTTATTGGTACATTTTAGGTATACAATACATTTACATTTCTCATTGGGAGCTTTTACCTTTACATGATGCATCTCCGGTTCTTATTTTTTCCTCATTCCCAGCCCTCCCTTCACCCCCTCCACCCTTCACTATTTACAAAGATTTTGTTTCCATTTTTTCCATTTCTCATAATTTTTCCTTTCCCTTCTTTCCTTTCCCCTGCCCCTCCCACTTTCCCTACCCCTTTGGACCTTTTCTTCCTATTTTGCATTATCAATTATTCATTCTAATCTTTGGTACATTTTAGGTATACTATATAATGACAGAGGTTAGGTAGAACTCTTGAAGACATTGGTGTGGGAAAAGATTTTATGAACAAAACCTCAGTTGCCTGTGAACTAGCACAAACAATCAACAAATGGGATCTCTTCTTATTAAAAAGCTTCTGCACAGCAAGAGAAACCACCAGCAGTGTGAAGAGACAATCCACAGTGTGGGAAAAAATCTTCACCTGCTCTTCCTCTGACAAAGGCCTACTATCTCAGATCTATAAACAACTTAAACAAATCAGACCTCC